CATAAAAAACAAGAAGAAACAAGGATAGCTAAGGATGGAGAAGATTAAAGCTTGGGGCAAACAATGAACTTGAATAATTTTTTTTCAGAAATTCATTAAATTGAAATTTGTTCGATGTTCAAGCCGTGACCTATCCCTGGGCACGCCAATTGATACAACATCGGCCTTTCTCCCTCGGTGACATAATGAAACTATCCTCGAATTGCGTAAACGCAAACAAGCGATTTGAAACACTTTCGGTGAAAACAAATATAATCGAAAGAATCAAGAAAACTTTGGAACCGTTTCTGTTATTTTCGTTTAAGCTAAAGACCTGGTTTGCCAACGCCCGAAGACGTCTCCGAAACCGCCACTTATTAAAATATCCCAAAAAGAAGAAGAAGAATCTTTGGCAGAGAAAGACACTACAGAAAACGAGAAAAGACGTCGCCATATCAGAGAGAAGCGCATCTGCTTTATCTCTCAACGCAGCTCAAGGGCAGAAACAACCTCAAAGGTATCAAGCAATCGCAACGATGTTGGCTGTAACTTTTGTTGTCCAAAAAGTCGGTTGTATTGGTGCAATGAAACACATCGCACATTCCATCTGAAAATGTAATAATTAGAACTATTCACCGAAGTGAAGGTGGCTAGTTTTTGACAAAGCGGCGAGGTAAACATCCACCTCTAGCCACCGTCACACTGAGGTGAATCGTTGCGTCAGTATATACTAAAGAAGTGAGATAATATAGCACAAAAGGATAATTTTAACTCATCTATTCCTGCAAAATTTTCGGGCGCAAATTCCGTGAGAGTTGCTTGGAGGCGAATATCAAAGGATATACGGAGTAGCCGATCAGAGCGCGCCTTAAACGATATCTGCCGTTTTAGTATATACTAAACATTGAAATATGTGGCGTAGGTTTAGCAACAGGAAATAACCCAACAGTTTTTTAATGTGAATTTAGAAGAAGACAAAACAAATAGGAAAAGCGACAAGGAAACATGTCATACAGTCGTAACAGCGCTGAAGAGGCAACTATTGACTAGCAAGGTAATTTGGTACTCTCAACCGAATCGTAGCTAACGTAAATTGGTTACCGTTAAGAGTGTTAAAGCTGACATTCAAGCGTGAGCACTTCGTCAGAGTGCAGGGGGACATTCTCCATTCGCTCTGACGAAGGGCTAGCACTCGAAACGTCCGCTTTGAAACTCTTAACGGTGGCCAATTTACGCTATCAACTCAGTTGATAATACCAAATAACTGCACGACAGTTTCCTAAGAAACTTACCCTCCTCATTCAACTCTTGACTAAGTTCGAGGTTAATCCTGATTAGTTGAAAAATCTGCCTGCTTGTTCTAACTGGCTAAACGACTTTGTCGATGTCAGCCTCCGCGCATAAGTCCTATACGACTCAGATTTTATAAACTAAAGTATTAAAAAGAACTTCCGAGTTCTAGATACCCTCAATTTCAAAATGGGGCTAAGTGCTAAAAATAACTTTGTAAATGAATAACATTTTCAGCGAGTAAAAAAGTCATTTTCTTGTTACAAGCCTTCAACTTACTCTCACTTTGAGACAGAAGCTGTGAGATGGCTCACTGGAAAGCTTTTTGTCACCCACAGATTTCAAATCGCTGATATAAAGAGTCAAGTTATGTGGAATAGTATCATGACTGACTTTCCAGGAGTGTCCATGGTGAATGGTATTCCACAATTTGCTGCGCCTTTTGTTCCTGTCAACGTTACCGTTCCCTATCAGTTGTCATGGTTACCCGCTGTACACCCTACTGCATTCTTGCCGGTTCAGTTTCCATGGTCACCCTCTTACGATCAGTCTGATAGGTGGAGTCGTTGTTAAGAGAGTTTGCGAAGAGTGCCTGGCGGAATCATGCGGCTTGCGTTATGATCACGAAGAGAAAGAACAATTTTAGTTGACGAATGGCGAAGGTTTACATAGAATACAATGTTCCGCCTAGCCTGCGAGTTGTTGGACGCGCGTTTCTCCGCTGGTGGGAAGAATTGAGACGAGTCGGGGCGAGTTTTTTCGGGGTCAAGGCCTCATACTTCCCGCGAGCGAAGAAACACACGAGGCGTGGCCCTGCTCGCAGGCTACGTTCCCCCTTACTTCCTGTCTTATAATTTGTTGGTATACATCTTACGGTGCTTTCGGTAATTGTTGAAGTGAATATAAGTCCTTTCATAATCAATGATCGTTCAGTTTTATAGGCTTTTTTTTTTCAGACTTTTTTTTAGACAGTTTTAAATCTAAATATTCGTTCATCAGTCCCTCAAAAGCTGTCTCGAGCCAGAATAACCGCGGTAGCATGATGGACAGTCTTGACCACAGTTCGTTAAAAAAAAATTCATGTCGAAATGGAAATTGATATTTTACTGTTTTAAATCGTTGTGTTTCTTTGTTTTTTTATTCTTAAAAGTAAGAGCAGAGTAGTAATAGGTGCCAGTATAGAGGAGAGCCAATCAGGATCGAGTTTATAGCCTACGTGACTTGAATTGATTGCCGGATTTCCAGATTCCATTCTATCATTTCCAGGCGCCTCCGTGGTTTTAAATCCGGAAATCCGGCAATTTGATTGGTCAATTCAAGTCACGTGTGCTATTTACTCGGTTCTGATTGGCTCTCCTCTATATTGGCACCCATTACTACTGAGCACAGGGTCGAGTTTTTTTTCTTTACTACAGAGACTGTTAAATGTAAATTGACCGAGGATTGAAGCTTGGTGTAGTTACAGTTTACATTTTGTTAGCTTTGCGTGTTAGTATGGTAAATAGACAGACGTTTGCGTCATCTTTGTCTTTTTTCTTTCGTAACGGCCTTGTTATCTATCAGCATGATCTCGTGACAAGCAGACTGGTGCAGTGTTAGCCTGCTTGGCTGCGGAAAAAGCGGTAGGTGCGAGCGCAGGGCGCGTTCGTCAGGATCTTTTGATCTGAGTAGATTTAACGATCACGCTTCGCACTCACATTACTTCCCCACCCCTTCCCCTGCTTTGTACGCAGGCCACATAGGATACAGTGCACTGAGCATTATGTTTTCTCTCACTTCGTTGTCCGTGCGAAGTCTGAAAGAGGTTAGGGAGTCTTACTCGGTGACGTAACGGTTAATGATAGTCCCCGATTCACCGCGGCTTTGTGCTTCGAGCGCTGGAAGAATAGCCTCGAACTTTCTCGTGACTTAACGTTTGAAGTTTTATTAGCTCCTTTTAAAGACATTTGGATTGAGATAGTGGAGAAGAAGAGTGCTATCTTCGTTCAGGTCTTCTTTAAAGCCGTTTATTTTCTTATTGGAGTGTCACACGCGAACACGTCGTTTTCTTTGCTCTAGAAACTATCTTCGTTCCGACCGCTTGTCGACGGGAACTGCCTATTGTAAAAAAATACATATTTATTTGAAATTAACAGTAGAGTTACTTTTGAGAGCCACGATGCCTTTTTTTTTTACGGCTTCCAGGACTTCCCTGTATGAATTATGAAATAGTTATCCATAAGGCCTGGGGACCCTGAACTTGTCACCTTTCTACGGTCTAGTATACCTTGCCAGTGATGGCGATAGTCTTGAGTATCTGGTGAGTGCCAATGCCATGGCAGCTATCAAAGGGGTTAGAGCAATGCACAGTTTTCACCCTTGTCCTCTTCCCCGAGCTTGAAAGCAGTGTAACTTTTTTTGGGCCGATCAATTAGAAGCTTCAACATCCCCCTCCCGGGCAACCCACGGGAATGGGACCGTGGAATCTTGCCTGGCCAGGGTGGGAAATTTGAACTGGAAGTGTCAAGACTCTCTAGAATAATTAAATTGTTGTATCCGTAAGTATGAAGGTCTTAAAGGTAAGCAGTTCACTTTTAGGTGCAAAGGGGTTAAGTTTCTAACGAAACTGTAGTGCTACGTCGGTGGAAGAGTACAACAGGGTAATTTAGTATTGTCAAATGAGTTGATAGCGTAAATTGGCCATCGTATTTAGCCAGGTAGGCCAAGTATTTAGCTCATCGTCAGATCGAAGTTATCAACTCAGTTGATAATACTAGTTTACACTTTCGCGAGCGAATGGCTCGAAAGAAAAGGTCTACAAGGTCTAGGTTTCAAAGCTTGGTCAATGTGTGGAGAGACACGGTCTCTGATTTTGCCTTCGACATTAAAATTTGGTGAGGCAAATGTCCGGGGGAATATAGAAGCCTCGAAGCGCCAGACAACATAATTCCAGCTTAACCGAGTTGTGAACGAAGCTAAAACATCCTCAAAAGCGGAATCTCCCCCAATGTGACATAGACAACTAGGGCGTCGCCA